AAGGCTGATTTAGCAATGGACTCCTGAACCAGTCCTGAGGGGAGGGACCATGGGCTGAGCGCCTGAGTGACTCCTGGCATCGAGAAAGGGGAATGGGCTTCCCTGTGTTGCACCCAGTGGAGAAGCCAGGAGAAATCTGCTCTGCAGTTCTATCACTTAGGAATATCCAGAACAAAAAAATGTTGACAACTGCAGGCTGCGGTGCTGTGGGATTCTGCTGGATGTCCTGTGAAGGAAAACCACCAGCAGCTGTCTGAAGCTGTTTTTCCTATATTAACATTTGGTTAATAAAGCCTCTACTGTGAAACAAACCAGATGAAAAGCCAGGCTTCATGAGGAAGGCCTTAGGGCAGGCTGGGAAGGATTACGGTTTTATCAACTTCAGAACACCTCTGTGCGCCCAGCATGGACTTGGGTGCTCTGGGATCATACTCGGAGGTGGGGAGCTGGTGTTGTCCTGAGGGAGCATACTCTCTCTTCCATCCTGGAGGCCAGACTGACATTTAAAGAAGCTAAGTGAAACCCATGTAAGGCGAGTGTGGGATCCATGCTAAGCTGTGCAATTGGGCTTGGAAGGACACAAAGACCTATGTGAGATGAGTCCCTTGAGAGCAGGACCTCAGCTGGCTCATTTTGGTATCCTTGGCATTGTGAATTTGTCACATAAGGTAGGGGTTTAATTAGTTAAATTTCAAATAAAGGTTAACTCTATACTTTTATTTACCCAGAATTTCATCCTACCCAATTTTTTACCTGCTGCCTCTGCACATGTACTTAGAATATACACCTGAATAAAAGCACCTAAAAACCCCAATAGTGGAACTTCCCTGGTGCTCCAGTGGTTAAGAATCCACCTTCCAATGCAGGGGACGTGGGTTCGATCCCTGGTCGGGGAACAAAGATCCCACATGTTGCAGGGCAACTAAAGCCGTGTGCCACAACTACTGAGCCTGTGCACCGCAACTAGAGAGAAGCCCCCACGCTGCAAAGAAAGATCCTGTGTGCCGCAACTAAGACCTGACGCAGCCAAAAATAAATAAATAAATATTTTTTAAAAACCCCGATAGTTTCCAGTCACACTCACAGTCACACACACTCACACAAATGCCTGAACACACTCACAAGCTCTTACTTATTCACATTTTTGTTCTTTGTCTCTCTTGATCTCATGCTCACTTTTTCTTGCTCCAGAATTGTTGCCAGGAGTTGCAGAAAGAAAGGCTAGTTTCACCAACCCATTCACAAAAGCACAAGGATGAAGAACTAGAAAAGTGGAGGAAGAAGTCAAGAGCAAGACGATGGGAGAAGGAAGACAAAGAATAGGAGAGAAAGAAAGCCAGAAAAATTCCCCATTGTGCGTGGGGAGTTAATTGTGAATGATGAGGCTCTTCCCCTAACAAGGATTAGAAGGACGGCTCCCATCTTTTATAGCAGGGTAAGAAGGAGTCTTACAAAGATAAACTGCTTTGGGCTTGATGACTTGTGGAGAAGCAGAAAAAAGGAACGACACCTCCATTCTGTCATAAATTCCAGACACTTAACTTTTCTTAAGTAGTTTATTTTCTGGTGTGGATAGACTTGCTTTGTATAGGAGCTTTCCACGGAACCAACTCTAGTGCAAAGTGAAATGAGGAGTACTTTTTTGGAAAAGTCTTGACTACTTGGTGAATGCAGATGCCTTCTGTGATGGTTAATTTTATGGGTGAACTTGACTGGGCCATGGTGCCCAGATATTTGGTCAAACATTATTCTGGATGTTTCTGTAAGGCTGTTTTTGGATTAAATTTAAATCAGTAGACTGCATAAAACAGACTGCCCTCCATAATGTGAGTCGGGCTAATGCAATCAATGGAAAGCCTAAATAGTACAAAATGCTAACTTCCCCTGAACAAGAGGGAATTCTCCAGCTGACAGCCTTCGTGCTCCATCTGCAACATCAGTTCTTTCAGGTGTTCCAGCAGACTGTCTTCTGGCCAAATTAAAAAAAAATTTTTTTTTTTATTGTAGTGATAGTTGATTTACAATGTTGTGTTAGCTTCAGGTGTACAGCAAAGTGAATCAGTTATACATATACATATATCCACTCTTTTTTTTAAGATTCTTTTTCCATATAGGTCATTACAGAGTATTGAGTAGCATTCCCTGTGCTATATAGTAGGTCCTTATTAGTTATCTATTTTATTTATAGCACTGTGTATATGTTAATCACAATCTCCCAATTTATCCCTCCCTCCCCTTCCCCCCGGTAACCATGTTAGTTTTCTACATCTGTGACTCTGTTTCTGTTTTGTAAATAAGTTCATTTGTACCCTTTTTTTTTTTGGATTCCACATATAAGCCATATCATAGGATATTTGCAACACAGTATTATTATTATATATTTAAAAAATAAATTTATTTATTTGCATTGTGGTGCATGGGCTTCTCATTGCAGTGGCTTCTCTTGTTGCGGAGCATGGGTTCTAGGAGCACGGATTTCAGTAGTTGTGGCTCACAGGCTCTAGAGCGCAGGCTCAGTAGTTGTGGCTCACAGGCTTAGTTGCTCCACGGCATGTGGGATCTTCCCAGACCAGGGCTCGAATCCGTGTCTCCTGCATTGGGAGGCAGATTATTATTATTATTATTTTTTTAATGAAAGCTTCTTTCTTTCTTTCTTTATATTTATGGCTGTGTTGGGTCTTTGTTTCTGTCCGAGGGCTTTCTCTAGTTGCGGCGAGTGGGGGCCACTCTTCATTGCAGTGCGCAGGCCTCTCACTGTCGCGGCCTCTCGTGTTGTGGAGCACAAGCTCCAGATGCGCAGGCTCAGTAGTTGTGGCTCACGGGCATAGTTGCTCCGCGGCATTTGGGATCTTCCCAGACCAGGGCTCGAACCCGTGTCCCCTGCATTGGCAGGCAGATTCTCAACCACTGCGCCACCAGGGAAGCCCTGGCAGGTAGATTCTTATCCACTGCGCCACCAGGGAAGTCTCTGCCTTTTGGCTTAAACTGCAACTCCTTCCTGAGCATCCAGTCTGCTAGCCTCCCCTGTCATATTTTGCACTTGCCAAGCCTCCACAATCATGTGAGCCAATTACTGAAAATAAATCTCTTTACACACACACACACACACACACACACACACACACACACACACACACACCCCCCATATGGTTGTCTGAGTGCTCAATCTGTTTCTCCTAGAGCCTTGACTAATACAGCATTTTATAAGCTGACAAACGGGAGTGAAATGTAACAAATGTATTCTTGCCTTTTTCCAATCAACACCGTAACTCAGGAGTGTGGACTGAAGGGGCAAGAGCCCAGGATCTGAAGTCACAGGGTTTGTCCTGTGTGAGCTCTGTTCCTTCCTAGCTCTCTGCCCTGGATAGGTCACCTAAGCTCAAGAAACCACAATTGTTCAGATGACTAGAGCATTGACAAGTATATTAGTTTTTTATTGCTACTGTAACAAATTACCATACTCAGTGCTAAAAACAACGTAAATTAATTTTCTTACAGTTCTAGAGGTCAGAATTCTCAAATCAAGGTGTCAGCAGGACTTCTAGAGGCTTCAGGGGAGGATGTGTCTCTTGCTGTTTTCAGCCTATAGAGGAGGCTGCCTGCATTCTTTGGATCATGGCCCCTTCTTTGTATCATTCCAACCTCTTGCTTCCATTGCCACATCTTCCCCTGTTCTTCTGATCTCCTGCCTCTCTCTTATATGGACCCTTAGGATTACACTGGGCCCACACAGATAATCCATATCAGTAGCCTTAATTTAATCACAGCTGCAAAGTCTCTTTTGGCATACAAGCTAACATTCACAGGTTCCAGAGATTAGGATGTGGGTATCTTTGGGTGGAGGTGGGCTGGGGCGTTATTCAGCCTACCACACCTGGTCACCTGAGGTCAGTGGTTCGTACTTGAAACCATTTTGGTTTTTTTGTAAAAGTACTTGACCATTTGGTGAATGCAGAAAGTTGCAACAGAGAAATGCTTTCGTGCCTGCTCAAGAGACAACTGTGTATTGGTACTATGTTTCTCTTTAACAATGAAAATTCTGCTGTTAGAGTCATCACAGAGTTAAGCTTCCCCCATCTCAAAAAATAAAATAATATAAACATGTTTTTTAAAGTATAATATTCTGGTTATCTAGTTATACAGATCTATGGAGTCTCTTGCCGTGGCAGCTTTACCAAGTACAGCTGATCCTTGAACAACACGGGTTTGAACTGCAAGCGTCTACTTATATACGGATTTTTTTCAATAAATACTACAGCACTACATGATCCACAGTTGGTTGAATCCGTGGATGTAGAACCACAGATACTAAGGGCCAACTGTAAAGTTATAGGTGGATTCTCGACTGCATGGGGTCAGCGCCACTAACCCCTGTGTTGTTCTAGGGTCAACGTTGTATGCCATTCAGTCACCTGTAAAGTGACCTTTAGCAGGAATTAAAACTTTTTAAGATGGACCCTAAGAAGCTTCCTTGACACGTATAATTCAAGTATCACAAATCCATGTCATCACCTGCACTCTAGAATACATCATCCCAATGTAAGTTTTAGAATTGTGTTGTGCCCTCAAATGCTGAGTACAGTTTTCAAGAGAATCAGTTATTTTCAGTGCTTCCCTCTTGGCTACATGGGTAAATTTAGGGAAATTCCTGGACTTTCTTTTTGGTGTATTGATGCATTTTGGGTGCTCACGGCACTGCCATAACCTTTGCTCGGCTTATTCTTAGTAGAGAAAACTTCATCTTGACTCATATATAATTGAATAAATCAATTTTCAAAAATCATCCTGATTGCTCAATTCAGTGTTCAAAAATTGTTGTTTGGTGAGTCTGTAATTTCAACCAGCCAATGAGGACTCACGGTCTGAGCCTGATTGATGGTTAAAAGGATTCGCCTAATCTTGGGGCGTCAGGTTTACTTACTCTTGTCTGGTGATGCCACCCTCCTAGGCATTCGCCTACTTTCAGGCACAAGGGCTTCAAATAAATTCCCGAGACTTGGTTTAGAGCTCAAGGATGATTTATCTTCCCCATTCCAAGGACATTTTACTATACCTAATTATGCCTTCTCCTCCTCCTCTTCTTCTTTTTCTTTTTCTTCACTCTGAAGCTCTCATTATTTATCTATGGGGGATTGAACTTGGTCAGTCAGTCCAGTTCCCCTTGATGAAACATCCCAGTCATTTTGAGATCTTTGGCTCCATTACTTCACCGTCCATTTCTGTGTTTTCTGCTCTTCTTTTTAAAGTCTGACTTTACTGCTGGAGGAAGAACATTTTCCTTTCTTTCAGCCTCAAGTGAACTGCCAACATGGAAAAGAAGGCTAACCAGGTCACAGCTCCTGTCACCATGTAGGCGAGACCTAAGAAAAGGCTACTGCCTCCACTCCATGTCAGGGTGGAAAGAACAACTGCTTTTTCTCCTTGGAACCTGTTTACAGGAAAGTCTAAGAAAAGAAAACTTGTTAAGGATCTGTCTCAGAACTTCTCAGCTCTACGACTACATATCCTAAATACATTAGGTTGAACTATATATATATACACACACACACACACACACACACACACACACACACACACACACATATACACACACACACACATATATACACACACACATATACACACACATATATATACACACACACATATACACACACACATATATATACACACACACACATATATACACACACACATACACATACACATACACACACACACACACACACACACACACACACACACACAATTTTTTTTTGGCTGTGCTTTTCATCACATGAGATCTTAGTTCCCTGACCAGGGATCGAACATGTGGTGAAAGCACAGAGGCCTAACCACTGGACTGCCAGGGAAGTCCTGAACCATATAATATTGCTGGTTTGGTTGGTAAAAAATGGTTGACTATTCAATTTCATATAGTCTAATCTTTACCAAGCAGTATGTTGTATTTTGTTGGAATGAAATTAAGTAAAAACAAGTCTTCCCTCTAAATAGTTGTAATCTATGAAAGAAATTCTGACACAGATAGATCTGAATGACTTCTAGACAACTCACTAGTGAACAAATATAGTTAATTTCTAAACCCAAGGAAATGAAAAGACTACAGATAGGTTTTGCAGCAAACCTAAATTTGCGTTTAAGGATCAGAATACCCAGGGTAGGCTGAAGTCCTTCATAGGCTAAGGTATGAATTCCTACCTCTCGGAAAATTCTTCAAGAGGAGTGAAGAGCAAAAAAAGTAGTGAGATGGCAAAACGTTTTTGGTGGGAAAACTAAAGGTGGTGCATTCATTTGGGATTTGAAAAGGCCAGCATCCCTCACCGCTGGGGAGAAAGTGTTTGAACTGGCTCTGCTATCGTTAGCATTTGAATGATGTCATTTTGATCATGCATGTGGCCTGAGGTTTTTAAACATCTGGTGCCTTTTGTAAACCAAACTAATAAACAAATAAAGGCTTCTCATAGCAACAGCATTTCCCAGCAAAGCTCTTAAAAGGCCTCAAATCACTTGGCAACATACTATTTAAAGGCACAAACTTGTTAGGAAAGCTAGTTCTCTTTCTTTTCCATCAAAATTCCTCACTGTCACCAGGTCCTTGGGCGCCATCTCAACTCGGCTGCCTGACTGTTCCATTAAGAGGGTCTTTTCCTCACACAGCGGGTCTTTTCTCCCTTACAAGTGGTAGCATTTTCTGCAGCTCAGGCTTAGTTCTCCTTGCATATTAGCCAGGCAGTGAGGCTGGACGGATAATACCCACACTAGGGTTCAACACAGGTGGTGCAAGCATAGGACTCAAGCTCTGGACTGAGGTTTTTTGCTAAAGATTTAGATTTGAGAGTTATCAGCATTAAAATACGACTGTGAACGAAGATGCCCAAGGAAGGCATGTTTCAAGCAGAGAGATAGTGTCTCCTTTGTTCGGAGCATAGACTCTGTCTTCTCCTCAACCCTAAACTCACTGAAATGCATTATGAGGGCAGCAGTACACGGTGGGCTTTTTTCCTGTGTCTTGATTGCTACCATAACTGCTTTACTTGTAAGGGCAATCACAGGAAAAGTTGATGGGAACAGAAGGTCCAACTTGACAGACTATTGCCAAGCAACTTTCAATCTCAAATTTTCTAGGAGGGAGAGAGAGGGGTTGCTGAAATCCTATTCAGAAGGTAATATTCTATGGCTTACTCTTTGATCTGTACATACAATGCTGTACAAGACAGAGCAATTTCTGACTTTCCTTTTCATAGACTAGAATTAGGGACCATGCTAAAGGAATGGCTGAAGGCAAACCATACTCCTGGTCAGTAAACAAAAGGAGGCAATAAGTTGAGAGGTAGAGATGGTGTCACATCAGTGGGGGTATCTCTGCCCAAGGAACGTCCCCACTCCCCTGTCAGAGTGGAGATGTTTGCGCTTTGGTCTAGGACCGAAAAGAAGAAAAGATGGAGCGTTGAACTGAAACACACGTTGTTATTCACTGACCCAAGAATCTCTCAGTCAAGTTCCTTGAGAGGTAAAGAAACAAAGGAGGTAGACAGTTTGGTGTTCAGATCCTCTAGCCTGCTAGGGTGCCTCGTGAAAAACTCCTAGCCGGTAACCCTGAGATGCTATGGGGTTGCTGATGCCTAATCAGGCTGACAAAAGCTGTGTACAAGTCCTGGAAAGACCTGCCTCTGAGAGAATTCTGCCTCAGGGAGAATCAGAAAGGGACTTCAAAACTAAGTCTGAAGACCAGAGTTAGTATAAATTGTGTTTAAATATATAATTTTTAAAAGATAGTGTTTGGTGTCATTTTGAAGTTAAGTCCTTTTTGTTCTTAAGTCAAGAGTTACATTTGTATTTTTAAATTAAGTGAAAACATTTCAGAATCTCATAATAAAGTATGTCTCCTAATGTGGACCGTATGTCCATAACCAAAGCACTGGCTCCTGCTAGCTGGCTTCGTACCTAATAGAGGAAGAACACAGCATCCTCACTGCAGAGCTTGTAGCATGGCTCACATGGATTGGATGAACGGAACCTGCCCTTGATTCCAGGGCTCCCTTGGTCTATGCTACTTTTGCCTAAAATAAAAGGTTCTACAATCTCTCTCAGTTTTCATTGCTTTTAGTCCATATTCCAAATTTACTTCTTAGTAAACCTCTCTCTCTTTATTTCCAGGGTCCTCCATGTCATCCCATCCTATATGGCAGGCTTCTCCTCATTGTTTTGGATCTCTAGGCCCAGTGCTACTTAATCTTTCTTCAGGGACAGAAATAGCCCTTCCCTCCTTATCCATATCTACTTACCTGATACTGCTACTGACTGTTGTTCCTTTAAAAACAACAACAACACACATTTAATTATATATAAAGTGGAGACAAACTATATGGTGATAGAGTGACAGTACTGCCTATAAGATAGATATGTATTTCTTTTACATATATATAGATTCGATTGATGAATAGAAAGTTATAGAATGAAATAGTTAAACAACTAGTATCCAGATGGACACTGATTTTCCTTCATCCCCAGAAAGAAAACTGGAATAAAAGGATACTGTAGGTTATGTTGAAACTATAACTACCAGCAGGTAAGCCTTCAGTAAAATGTTCTATTCGATGGAGTCGGCGGTACAGTTTTTTGAAAGTGGGAAATGCGGCTGTCCTCATCCACACAATGAAGTCGTCATTGATGAAGCCATTGTTTCCTGGATCCTCTTCATCTAGTTCATAGGCAGGCTTAGGCCAGTTCGGAGGCTTTGTGGTTCCTGGGGAAAGTTAACAATGGATGTGGTTGAGTAAAATCATCTACCACCTTTAGTTTTTCTTAAAATGTAGAGAATGAAACAACTTCCGTATTCTTGAGGAAAGAGGAATCAAAATCACAAAATTTTTTTTAAAAGTATGTGTATGTAAGCTACCTGAGTATACAACCATTAAAAATAATGGTTATGGGCTACCCTGGTGGCGCAGTGGTTAAGAATCCGCCTGCCAATTCAGGGAACACGGGTTCAAGCCCTGGTCCGGGAAGATCCCACATGCCACGGAGCAACTAAGCCCGTGGGCCACAACTGCTAAGCCTGCGCTCTAGAGCCGTGAGCCACAACTGCTGAGCCTGCGTGCCGCAACTACTGAAGTCCACGCGCCTAGAGCCCGTGCTCCACAAGAGAAGCCACTGCAACAAGAAGCCCGCGCACCACAATGAAGAGTAGACCCTGCTCGCCACAGCTAGAGAAAGCCCATGCACAGCAACGAAGACCCAAACAGCCATAAATAAATTAATTAATTAAAAAAATAATAATGGTTATAAGGACTCTAAGGAAATGTGGGGGGAAATGCTGAGGATACTGTCATAGGGTTAAAAAAAGCAGAAAATCATATGTATATTATGTATTCAAATATATAAAATGTCTAATAAAGCATTGAAAAAATAGGTACAGCAAAAGTATAATAGTGGTGGTATTCAGTGATAGCATCATGGGGAATGTCTATTTTCTTTAACATCATTAGTAAGGTAAAGAAAGCAAATTAAAACAAGATACCATTTCACCTAAAAATAGGTTTATATTTAAAGAAAAAAAGAATGACAACTATTGATGAGGCAGTGGAAATGGGAACTCTTGTACAGAGCAGATAGATGTATGGATTAACCACACTTTTGGCAATCTAGGAACATGCAGCAAAAGACTGAGGACTTGCCTGGTGGTCCAGTGGGTAAGACTCCACGCTGCCAATGCAGGGGTCCCGGGTTTGATCCCTGGTCAGGGAACTAGATCCCTCATGCACGTCACAACTAAGAGTTCACATGCCACAACTAAGGAGTCTGCATGCTGCAATGAAGAGCCCGCATGGCACAACGAAGATCCTGCATGCCACAACTAAGATCTGGTGCAGTCAAAATAAATAAATAAATAAATATTTTTTTAAAAAAAGATTGAATATATTTTGCATCCATTTTGGCCCAGAAATTCTCCTTCTAGGACTATATTCTAAGGAAATGATTATGGAAGTGCATGAAGATAGTGTTGCATGGATACTCCCTGCAGACCTGTACCTAAGAGCTCAAAGTTGGAAGCAAGGACGAAGAACTTGTAGAAGGGAGAAGGTGGAGAAGAGAGGTGTTGCAAACCTGTTCTAAAGCCAGGAAGCCTGGTAGGTCTGGGTGCTGTGCTGTAGGAATGCTGGGAGCACCGGGTGAAGTCTGTTGAGTTTACTCTCATCCTCATACTTCCCACTTTACCGCCCTGGGCATGCCTGTCTCTCCCACTCAACAGCAGACTCTTGAGTTCAGTGTCTTCCTCATCGTTTTTTCACTGGCATTTAGTCCAGTGCCTGGCACATGGTAGGTGTCCAATCAATGCTTGATAAAGGAATGAGCGATTCCAATGAAAGCTGACAGAAGCTGATAATAAACAGCATTTTGAATTTTTAAATAGTCAACAAGAGGAAGTTGTCCAGTGAACTTTTTACTTCCATAAAACTGGTTCTACTATTTGTAGGAAACCATTCTTTCTCACCTCTGACCACTGACTATTTTCTCCTAAAAGAAACCCAGTCTTATTTTCTAAGCATGGGCTGTAGTGCTTATAAAAGCATGTGCTAAGTTTGGCTGGATTAATCTGAACTATGTTGGTATACTTATGCTTCCTCTGGAAATAATCCTTTGCTGGAGAAACTTTCTCTCCAAAAACTGTGGCGATGTTGGCCCTTCCCAAGAATTTGATCGCTATTGCTAGAAGAATATTGATCGAAATCAAAATTGCCTTTGGTACCTGCATGTGGACCTCACCCTCTCTCTACTTCAGCCAGAGCTCATGCTCAAGTCAATGTGTCCTATAGGCCAGTGATATCCAAGTCACCCAGGGAGTGAAAAATGCAGGTTCAAGCATGCCTTTCCGTATCAACCCCTAATCCTACCGCATCCCATGTCTCCAGAGAGTATGAGAAGCATGGTGTAAGAAGCATCAACTTCTCTCATTTTCCAAGTTCAGCTGGGTCCTTGGTATTCATCCATTCACTCAACAATAAGTATTTCTTGATTGCTCACTTATATCAAGCACAAGGGATATAGCATGAGATCTAATCCCTTTCCTCAATGTGTTCACATAAAGTGGGGATGACAAGTATTCAAATAGATAATTATAATAAAACATGGTAACTCTTACAATAGAAGTAAGAAAGAGTAGGAGTAGGAGATAAGAGAAAGCCAAGGATGCTTTGTGTTATATGCTTGTGGTTATGGTAAGACAAAACAATAGCATATTGCCAAGTTCCTTTCAAAAACTGGGAAGTTAATTACAGATACAGTGACCATACATGCCAGTTTGCCTAAGACAGTCCCAGTTTATGTCTGTTGTCCATTATCTCATCTGATTTAGCACTTATCCCAAGCAAATAATGTACATATAATTTCAACCTTTCAGCCATGGTCTTAGCTAGTAGTGAGAGATACCCATGTACAGTGAACAGAGTGCTTACTTTAATTAATGAAAGATAACCAGTGGCCCTTCATAGCAAAACATAACATATCCCTGTGACCCCTGCCACAGTTTGACAGTACAGCCCATTAAGCCACAGCCTATGTTTTGGCCTGTGAGACATGTGGAGCTGCCAGGCTGCAAGTCAGTGGGGTTGGTGGGAAATGTGGGATATTACAGATTATGTTATAGGCACAAGATGTAGTGTGAAAAATAGATGCTGAGCAGTCTTGCTGAGAGTAGTTTGAACTCTCTTGCAACAGTGTTATTTATTATATGGTGTAAAAATATAACTACCTTATTGTTTGGTATCAGTTTTTTATTTGCTAGTAAATCCTTTTGGCTGTGAAGAGCTAAAACAAGGAACATACATGTTTAATGAAAAATTAAGCACAGTTTTTCTAAAGAAAGTTGATGAATGTGATACTTGCAATGTTGGTTGACATATACCCCCCACCCCGGGAAACGTCATGATGTCAATGACCATGGGAAAAATCAAAAGACATAAATTGCTGAAGAACATCAGAATCTACTTCAAAAGTCTGCACTTATTTCTAAAAGCAATTACACTCCAATAAAGATGTGGAAAAAAAAGAGTGTATTCAAAGACAGTGCTTTACCTAAAGGAGCTACAGAAAGTCCACTTCTATACCATTATGTGAGCATGACTTTTCATTTAGATCAAGTGAGTTTCCTTCTAGTTTCACTTTTTTACTAATTTTTTTTTTTATAATCAAAGGAAAACTTTAATGTTTTGGCTCTATGAGCACAAAAAGAACCTCGTAAACAGTTAAATGAAAGCAGTTTTAAATCAATGTCTTCAGATGTATTCATCCATCTGAATACATTGGTTTGATTTTTTTTTTTATTTGATTCTTCATGGAATCAAGGCAAAGCTTTTCAATATTCAATATTGGAAGATAAAACTGACATGATTATAAATATTACTATAAATTCAGTTAAAAAATTCAACAATCAAGTGTAAATATTTTGGTTTTATAGTGATAACATAAATGCAAATGTGGTGGAGCACAACATCAGAGTAAAGATAATTTTCTTAGTAAATTGAGAAATTTATGGAGAAATGGGCTTAAAATTGGTTGTGAAACATATATAATTCACAACTGTATCCAAACAAGCTACAATATTTTGTTAATCAAAAAAAGAACTGTAGTTGTGCAAATTTAAATATTTTCATATATTCACAGAGGAAATGAACTGTAAAATTTTTACAATGACAAAGATGTTAAAGAAATGCTTCAGCATGAGAATACATGTGGTCTGTCTTTGCTACAAATCATCAACCAAAATTTTAGAAATGTTTGAGCCTTCAAAGAACTGTTTTCTATAACAAATGATATGTCCTACAATGATCCTAAACTTTTTCTTGGTAAGTTTTTGTGGAATTTTATTCAAAATAGTTGTAAAGTTTTAGACAAAGTATTCTACACATGGAATGCCACAAACCTTAGTTTTTGAGGATATAGTTAATTGTAATGATTGAAAATCAAGTTTGCAAACAAGAAGATATTGAAATTTACCCCTATAAAAGCAAGGGAACAATTGAATATATTTTATAATGAGAGTTCAAAACGTGTACAAGATTTAATTTTTAAATTCTATAATTGTGCTTTGAAATATCTCAATTTATGTGAAAACTATTTTGATGGAGCTCCTATTTTAATTGGATAAAATTTTCTTCTCGATGAGAATTAAATGATATCCAGGAAATCTAAGATTTCATAGCATCTAAATTTAGTAAAACATTCAGAAAAATCATAGATATAAAAATTGTGAAGTCAAAAAAAGACCTTGCCTATAAAAATATTTGGGCTCCAGGCATGTGGGCCTCAGCAGTTGCAGCACACGGGCTCAGGAGTTGTGGCTCGCAGGCTCTAGAGCGCAGGCTCAGTAGTTGTGGCGCACAGGTCTAGCTGTTCCGCGGCACGAGGGATCCTCCTGGACCAGGGATAGAATCTGTGTCCCTTGCACTGGCAGGTGGATTCTTAACCACTGCATCACCAGGCAAGTCCTAGATATTTTCTCAGTTAAAAAAAAGTTATGGTCAAAAGAGAAGAATCAAAGGTGCAACAATCTGTAACTGATTAACCACAAAATGCACTTCAAAAAAAGAGTGCAGACAATTTTGTGAAAAAATTAAAAATATTTTAACAAAATATTTTTAAAAATACAGAAACCCAAATTTTTCATTAGAAAAATACAGGCGCATGAAATGAAGACAGATATGGCCAAGAAACTGATTAAAGTGTGTGACTCTGTATCCAGAATAATTATTCTGTTTATGTTATCTTTTAGCATTTAGATAATATTTAAAGTATTTTTTTAAGTTGGTTTAATGTACACAGGTATATTATTTTAATTTTTGAAATAATTGCATTTTTTAAATAGTTTGTAATAGAATTCTTTTATATGCCCATCAATATGGTAATGTCAATTTACCGATCAATAAATAAAACTTTCAAATTAATATATAACTTTAGTTATTCTAGGGACCCCTTTCACTCTCAAAAGTGCACTAGTTTGAACAGTAAATTAATGATCACATAATTATAGATGAAGGAACAAGTTTCTTAAAACATTGCCTTTTCCTAATGGTAAAATAGAAGGAACTGGGGTACCAATCATTTCATGTTTCTGACAGGTATGTGATGGAGGTGCCCACAGGTGGGAAATATTATAACCAAAAGGCAGTCAGCAAAGAAGCAAACAAGGCGGAATCATAAACATGCCCCCACACATCAAAACCAAAGTTTCTATAAAGAGAGGAGGATATTGAGCTAATGTATGGATCTTACCTGCAAATGCACTAGAAAGATTCTGGAAACTTGGATTCTGAAACTTGACATACTTGTCTGTCCACCACGTAATTCCACTCCTTATCATTGGTACTTTGATATGGATAGATGAATTAAGGTTGTAAGAAAGAATAATGGTGTCTGTAGCGAAATTAAAAACTGTGTTAGATTCAAGTAAGCATTTTTTGCCACACTTGGAAATGCACAACCAGACACAGCTGAAAAAGCAGGGTTTGAGTAGACTCTCCACATGCCTACATGGCATAGATGCTGGAATCAGAAGACTATTCTTTTTCTTGCTAAGGCCCCAATTATTGAAAAATACTCTTAGACTCCATTTGACTCATGTTTCCTAACTACTTCAAATCTCTGGTAAGGGAGAACTTATTTGCAAATGAAATATCATAAATCAGTGGATAATGTATACAAACAGTGTTTTAAAAACTGCCACTCATCCTACACCCAGCGGGACCCACCCACGATTAGGGGTCCATCAGCGATGCGGGAGACCCTGGGGGAGACGGTGGGGGAGGAACGTGAAGGAACGGAAGGGAATGCGGCCAGCGCTTTCCCTGTACACTTAGGCACCTGGGAGCCTATTGGGCTCCTGGGCCTAATTCTCTGCTCTCAGAGCCTCCCTCCTGCAGCGCAGAGCCAAAGCCTCGCCTCTACACCCCCACCCAGGGCCCTACCTCCAAACTCCGGAATGCCACACTCCAGAGGCCCTCCTTTCCACGTGCTGCAGCTACCCTTTCCCGCAGGTCCTAAGCAGAGGCCCTGCCCCACACTTGAACGTCACTCCCTCTCCCGCCTAGGTTCTGCCCTACCCTAAACTCCACCCCTGCCTAAGATCCACCCTGCCTAAGCTCTGCC